CTTTAATTTCAAATTATGTTTGAATTTGACTATGACTTTGCAACACAATTCTCACTTTTCTAAAAGTGCAGAAAGCATCGGAGACATTCTATTGGTTTCCAAGATGACTATTGTTTATTCCCAATGGTAACTATTGGAATTCAATATTCTAAATATAAATATAAAAAGTCATATATATATATAAAAGTAGAGTATTTCCTCATTTACAATTAAAAGAATATATATATATATATGAAGTGATCATCTATTTCCTGAATGTGATCATCTATTTCCTGAATGTGCTGCAAAAGGAATGGTTTGGGAATGCCATTCAACTTACTTTGCACCCACAAGTAATATCGTGTGCTGTCTCCTGATCTGGACCAGGGATTTTCATATGATCTATTAACAGAGCACACGTCCGGCATACACTCTGTGAATGTAAGAGTCTGTGAAAGGACTGTTTTGAAAGCTGACCACATTTCCTTTTGACATTCAGGGGCACTTATTTCATTAGCTTATAAAAAGAAAAAATGTAACTGGGAATGTAGGGGATCTTATTGACAGCTCATTTTTTAATTTAAGCCAAATGCAAAAATAAAAAAAATAAAAAATTCTGATATTGCAGAGAATGGAATACAGAGCAGCGCTTTTTTCTAAAATACATGCATAGTACACATTGTGCAAAGAATAGCAAAACTAAATAACTGAATTTATCCTGTAAAACGAATGGATATCTATAAAATACATCAGTTTAGCAGTAAAAGTGAGAGGACCTGTTAATAAGCACTTGGATAGCGTGAAATGCTTTCAGCCTGTGTTCCTCCCTTTTGTAATGTTTGCCATTACTTTCTTTTGTTTGTTTTTTGTTTTGCCAATGATTGAAATAAAGATTTTCCACTTCCTGTGTCCAGCTTCAATTGGGCTCCAGGGATATGGGTTTGGATATACGGTGTGAATATTAGACAAAGGAGTGCAAAGTAAATAATATGTTGCAGACAAGTCTAACTTCAAATAGAGTTGAGATTAGTAAGAAACAAAATGTATCACACCAATTATATATGGTATTGATATGGTTAATTTATGAATATGGAGATGCAAACATCCTCCTGCAAAGAAAGCTAAAAAGTAATGAACACAAAAATTGAAGGGGCACTCTAAGCACCATAATCACTACACTACAGAATTACAACTGCATTATGCACTAACTCTATAGATGAAAAGAAAGCTGGGGTAGGTTATCCCTGTGCTCACGGTCTATCATTCCAGCACAATGCTGATCATCAAATTTGTTTTCCTAGCGTTACAGCCCTGATGACCCTTTTAATCTAATCTAGGTTCCCCTCCCCCACCTGTATGTATATATAAGAACAAAATTGAAAGGAAACAAAAACAATTACTCACCCTTTTTCCAAACCACAATCTCCATCAGCGCTGTTGCGACCTCTTCGAGTGATATCATGTTGGGGGTGTGCCTCCAGGAGGATGGTCAAATCCAATGCTCCTCATAGATGTTTGGCGCTTACCACAATACGCCTTTGAGTAGAATGATTCTCTATGGCTGGCCGTGCATAATATGGTATGAGAACCAGGAACAGTGCAGAGCTACTGCCAGTGCACAACATGCGGCTGCACCAGGGCCCACACGCCTTGCGGGCCAATCGGGTGGTCCATGCACTAATGGCCACCTGATGGTTATTATTGCTAAACAGAGGCCCGGTCGGGAGCCGTGATCCTTTGAGAGCTTGACCAGGTTTTAATTTTTGCTGAGAGTGCTGGGAGGAAGTGACTATCCTTACTTCCTCCCAGCCTACAGACCGCATGGGTTGGGAGCAATGACAGGATGAAGCACTGCAGGTAGACAGCTTTGACTCCCATCAGCAGCAGCCATCCCCAGGAAATCACCACCCTGCAACCAAAAAGTAAGGAAGGAGTGGTTAATAATATGTAAATTGCTGTTTGTTTCATTTCACACACATATACTCCATAAACAATCATGCTTACATCACTGCAGAATATGTTGGCGCTTGGGGGGGAGCCTATCTGCACTGACTGGGAGGTAATATTCATGGCTCATACTCAGAGGACTTGAAGGTGTGGCTTGAAGCTGTACTGTTAAGCCCTCTAATGGGAGATCAGGAGATCAGGGGTGCATGTTTAGGGTGGTGTGAAGGTTTATAATAATGGTCGAATGTGGGGGATAAACTCTTTACTTCGAGGGGGTATTTAGAAAAACAAAAAAAAACTACTTTTTAAAAAAAGTTCACTATCCGGCTTATCTTGTGTCAGAGAGGAAAGGTGCCTTTGGCAGGTACATACTTACTAGCGACCACTGTTCACCAGGTCTGGGAATGAATCAGAGTGTTGCTGTGGCAATCCGCAGCAATGCTCTGATTAGCTATTGGGAGACTTGCACCTGGTTTGCATCAACAGGAGGTGCACACTACAAGCACAAACTGGCTACCTCCCACCTTGCGTAATACAGGGCTGGCTAGTGAGGGAGGATCCCTTCCAATCCACAATAGCTCTGCTTTGAGCATCACTCAAGTAGAGCTTGCCTTGAATGGGCTAGTTGGGGAGATCCTTTGGTCGCCCCAGTTGTCCCCAGCCCATTGCCATTATGTCTCACTCGGGATTTGCCTGGTCTGCCCAATGGCCAGTCCCGGCCAGTTTGAAAATATTATGTATAATACAGTAATAAGGATCATAGATCAATTAAGTAGGAAGGTGTGTTCTGATGTGTATGAGTTGTCCTTACAAACAGGTAAACAATGTGTCGACACTTATATGGGAAGCTAAAATTCTACAAAAGTTCTTGGATAGCAAGTTGGCAGTTGCACTCAGAGGGTATAGAGTAAAATTGCCTAAGTGTAAATCAAATTTGTATTATTTTTTTAAACTTTGTTCTGATAAAGTATATTGGTCAATTCCATTGTTCACGGCTCACAGCTACCAGAAAAGGGCTATCTTAGGGCTGGAGTGGCCAAAATGTAGATTACCTTTCCTTTATACTTTTCTATCAAACATGTATGTTATCTGCACTCATGTTGCTTTAACCCCAGTATCACAACTCAAATCCCGAAACCTTCTCATTCCAAAATTCTGTTACTCCAATAAAAAAAGGTATTGCAATATTCTAAGTTGCTTTAAATCTGCATCACTGGACTAATACGGCTAAAATCTGTACTATATATACAGATCTATTTTTAGTGTAGCATGGTCTTTTCTACGGAACAGACAAAATACTTGAACTGTATGGGAGATAACTTATTGTACAGTCATACAATCTTTCCATCACAGAATGTGCAATCATTATATATAAAAAAAATAAAAAAAGATAATTAATATAAAAATATCTAGCTCTAAATGATCACCCATATATCAAAGAAAACAATGGGGTTTCCTCCTGTTCTGAAGGTAGTAGCCCTCATGGCCAAAGAAGCCAAGATTTGGAACCAGACTACAAGACCCTATAAATCCATGGAATTTGCCATACTATGTACAAGTTTCCATTCGTATGGCCTTTGGACTCCATCGGACTTCATGTTTCAAAGACAACTGATGTCCTACTAATGAACAATTTTTCTCACTGTTTTTAGGGAAGTTATTGAATTTCTAATTTTTATTCCTCAGCCACATTTTCCTATTTCTTCATTCTTCTAATCCCCTTGGTCTATACAACTACAATGATTGACATCTTTTTTGCTGCTTAAGGAAGAGGCTGGTGGAACCATTTTTGTGAATGACGGCTGAGGAAAGGGAGTGCCATCTGGGGCTACAATATAAAGCTTTAATCAAGCTGTTTTTTTTTTTTTTATTCTTTATTTGTATTTCACATAAAAGGTGGACATATGAAACATAACAAGTGATAGAATATATTTGTTCAAACCATAAAATAAGTTTATATATATATATATATATATATATATATATATATATATATATATATATATATATATATATATATACACACACACACATATACACACACACACACACATACACAATATATATTTTAAACATCAGCGAGTATCACAGGACTTGAAACATTTTAGGTAGTTTCTATAAAAGTTAACATGTCAAAACCTTCATCAATAAACCTGGTCTCTAAAATGTGTTAAAGGGACACTATAGTCACACAGACCACTTCAGCTCAATGAAGTGGTCTGGGTGAAAGGTCCCTCAGGTTTTAACCCTTCACATGTAAACACAGCAAATTCAGAGAAACTGCTATGTTTACATAGCAGGGTTAATCCAACCTCTAGTGGCTGTCTTCCTGACAGCCGCTAGAAGCGCTTCTGCAACCTTGCATGCGAAATTCGCATCCAGCGTGCAGAACGTCCATAGGAAGGCATTGAGAAATGCTTTCCTGTGGACTGTTAGAATGCGTGCGCGGCTCTTGATGCGCATTCCGCTCCACTCGGGAGCTGACTTCGGCGGCTTACCTTAAGCAACTTACCTTAATCCAGCGACGGGCTCCCTCGGCGCTGGATTAGGTAAGCTGCTGAAGGGAGCCACGGGAGGGGGACCCTGAGGGTGAGGGTCCCCCAAGGATGACATAGTGTCAGGAAAATGGGTTTGTTTTCCTGACACTCTAATGATCCTTTAATAAAAATGTAAACAAGAAGCAATAAAAGAGAGAGAAAGGAGGAGAAAAATAAATACATTTTGTGTCACCATGTTTATTATTATTTTATTATGTATATAGCGCCATCAGATTCCGTAGTGCTGTACAATCTGTTTATCTGCCTCCCAAATCTTTATTTTACGTCTGTTCCTTCCATGCTTCCCAAACTTTGAGAAAAGCAGGTTATTGTGTCTTATTTTAGATGTGAGCCCATCCATGATATAGTTATCTTCTATTTTTTGCTAGAACGTCTTGTTAAAGGACCACTCTAGGCACCTAGACCACTTCAGCTTAATGAGGTGGTCTGGGTGCCTGGTCCAGCTAGGGTTAACCCATTTTTTCATAAACATAGCAGTTTCAGAGAAACTGCTATGTTTATGAATGGGTTAAGCCTTCCCCCTAATCCTCTAGTGGCTGTCTCATTGACAGCCACTAGAGGCGCTTGCGTGCTTCTCACTGTGATTTTCACAGTGAGAGCACGCCAGCGTCCATAGGAAAGCATTATGAATGCTTTCCTATGTGACCGGCTGAATGCGCGCGCAGCTCTTGCCGCGCGTGCGCATTCAGCCGGCGGGGAGGAGAGAAGGAGGATCGGAGGAGGAGAGCTCTCCGCCCAGCGCTGGAAAAAGGTAAGTTTTAACCCCTTTCCCCCTTCCAGAGCCGGGCGGGAGGGGGTCCCTGAGGGTGGGGGCACCCTCAGGGCACTATAGTGCCAGGAAAACGAGTATGTTTTCCTGGCACTATAGTGGTCCTTTAAGATGGTCCTTAGATTTTTGGCCAAGCTGCAGCCAGAACCCTCTTAGATGCCAGGGCAATTATGTTTAGTAGCTTTGCGAATGTTTTGGCATACCCTCAATTGGACGTGTAAGTAAGAATGTCCATTTGGATAATTCTATTGGTCTCTACATAATGCTTACTACAAAATCCTTAATGCCTTTCCAATAGTTGTGTAGTTTGGGACAATCCCACCATATATGCAAGTCCCCTTGTGCCCGCATAAATCGCCAGCAAAGATAAGATGGGTTACGTCCAATTTTGTGTAAAAAGACTGGGGTAATATGCCAGTGAAACATTACTTTATACATCTGTTCATTTGAGAGGATACAAATAAATATCTTAGATGCATCTTCCCAAATTTCTTCCCATTCACCCCCCTTAAGGGTTTCTCCAAGATCGGCCTCCCAGTTTTCTATATATTTCATAGGTCCCCGAATAGAGGGTTCTGTGCTTAAATGTATGTAAAGGAGTGAAATGAGGCATGGTTTATATCTTCATTGATTGCAAAGTTGTGGGTAATGCAGTCATGACTTTTTAATGTCTATTGAATATGCAAAATTATGTATCTGTAGATATAGAACAAAAATTAGAAAAGTTAAATTGTGTTTTTGTTGTAGAATTTCATAACTAATCACCACATCTCCTTCCCATAAATGATGAAGTCCATGAATCCCAGCTATCTCTAAAAAAAAATTTAAGTCTTGCGGTCTCATGCCCAGGGGGAAGTGTGTATCATGGAGGACTGGAGCCATCAGAGAGGGATTATTGGTGAATTCATATTTGTTTCTGGTCCCAAATGTCTATGGAATGTATTATCAAAAGGCATTTAGTTTAAAGGAAGGTCCTAGAGGATTTATTGAGCTACATATAAAATTTTGTTAAGTTGGTTATTTTAACCCCTTAAGGACACATGACATGTGTGACATGTCATGATTTCCTTTTATTCCAGAAGTTTGGTCCTTAAGGGGTTTACGAAGTGTATATGTTGTGAAGGTCGGAGAATAAAAATAGCAATCCTTAGCGGAAGGGTGAAAAAACAACCAGAAAAGGCAGGTGAATTACATGCTTTGTATTAAAAAAACAAAAACAAAAAAAAAACCTCTTTGAGCAAAATAAACACAAAAACACTCAAAAACTCAAATTAACTTCCTTATCATAAGCTGCTTTCAGGCGAGATCCTACTGGTCATAAAGTAGTTAAAATTTAATTCTCTGTCTTTTGTGCAACAGACACACACAATATTTAAAAATATATAAGTGCTTCTTCATAAAATATTAACGACAGGTTAACATGTCTCATTAGGCTAATAAGACCACAATGTATTTTAATCTTTATCTTGATCATTCTGTATTGCATGCAGTCAGGGGTGAAACCACACTGTGGAATGTTTTATGAAGAATGGATAGAATGTGAACATGCCTTTTTCTACTTCAACCCCTTGGGAGTTCTGGATTTTGACAAATTGTTGATTGATGGTTTCATAATTTGAGATATTTTTGTCGGATTTCATGCTATATGATGGTATACTCTTTTTGTTAAATGCGGTTTAAAAAACTTTCTTAATAATTGAGATTCTACAAATAATTTTAGACCCCGATAGTCAAAGGGTGTAACGTACAACAGACAAGCTGAAAAGCTTTTGCTAATTCTTCCAATTATGCTATAAAGAGCAAAAATATGCAATTCTCCAAAAAATCATATTTTAGTGAACAATCATTTTTTTAAAATGGTGCTGCCTTAAAGGTACACTCAAAGACCCCTAAACGACTTTTTTCCTTTACAAAAAGTGCACATTTCAATAGAAATGGGCACTTTTATACATTAACCTTGTTACACACACCCTTCAGCTGTCAACCGGAACACTGATGCAGTTACTTCCTGGTTTAGTTAGCCCAGTGGAGCTAAAATCAAGAAGCAGCAATTGCCCAGAGCACCTGCTTTGCAAAGACTTGTCTTTGACCTTAATTAGAAAGTAAGTCTGTGATTGGACAGCCACCTAAAATCTGGACAGGGTTATAAAGGGAGGGTTTGAAAAGGCTGCAGACAAGAAAACTGCAGTTTTGCAAGCTGTTTGTAGGTATACCCCCAATAAAAAAATGCATATGTAAATGCATGCATTTTTTAAAATGGGGATATATATACATGCAAAGCAGTGGTTTTTACTAATTTTTTTATTTTTTTTATTTAAAATGTGTAATGTATTGGTTTGCAAGTACCAAATTAACTTAATTACTCTTTTGCAATTGTTTCATAAGGATACACGATTCAATCAAAAAACTGTGCAAAATCTAAAAAGGAACGTCTTGAATTTAGGTCTGGATGCCACTCTCCTGGTTTGCTTCCTATCTTTCCATAATAGCAAATCAGCCGGGATTGCCTTTAAACTGTGGCAAAACATGTAGAAAAACCTTTAAACTACATATATAAAAGTGGCAAAACGTCAACCTCATATGAGCTGGCTGGCAATTTAAGGGTCAATTAATTTGACAGGTTTATATCACTATGGCTTAATCAATGACTGAGCTTTCAGGATTTCCAAAAATAGGAATTATGGTGCTAGCTCAAAAACCCAATCCAAGAGGGGCTAAAGGTGTGCTCATTTTTGTCTTTTTTATTATTTAATGTCAACATATTTTTTAGAATTATTTAATGGGATTTCCATACTCTGTGAGTTTCAGCAGTTCCTTTCTCCCTAACAAGCATAAAAACATTTCACCTCCTGTATCATTTTATGAAATGTTCGGTCCTGTTGGGAGATGTAGTGCAAAAAATATGCTCCATGTAACACAATCCTGATTTATACCCTGTGCATATCTCCTGGCTTAGTGTAATGATAGTTATAACATCAGGAGGGCTTTGCTTAGGTAACCATAGGTCAGGAGAGAAGCAGGTTATCTGATAGAGAAAAGAAAAAAAAAAGTCCTGAATTAATTCCTTATTAACCCACTTTCTGCCAGGTCTGCTTTTATATAATGGGAGTTATCTAACCTGTTGTCCTGAAGGGGGTTAAGGATTTGTGCCTTAATGAATGGCAAATCCTCTTAGCTGAGCTCTTGAAGTTAATGAGGCAGGTGAGAGCTGTTTGAGAGTGAAGTATTTTCAGGATTTACAAGAAGATAAAATGTGGCCTTTGACTTGTAAATGGTTAAACAGGTAGAAAAGCTATAAGTGCCTGCCTTTAATTCAAACCTCCCGACCCCCCCCCCTTTTTTTGGACGGCTTGCCCCTCATAAAGGACAGCCCCTGCTGCCTTTGTCACTAAAGTGAATAGCCAACACTAGCTAGCTGTCCTGTGACTATAAAATCCCAATATTCTAATCCAAGGGTAAATTAATAAAAGAAACTCAGTCAATCTTTATCATCCAAAAAACTACCCCCCTTTTTTTCTTTGACAAAAGACCCCTGCTAATTGGCAGGGCTAGCCAGCGAAGGACAAGAGAGACTGCCATCACGGTTGCCATGGAAATCGTGTGGCCCTATTTATTGGCCAGCTGGTCGTCTTTTGTTGCTACTGGCAGCTGAACTGCAGTTTTATGGGACTTGTGGACCACATATGTCCCTATTAAACATCTTACCACAAAGTATCACACCAAAAGCATTGGTTTGGAAAAGAACAACACAAAGCAAAATAGAAAGCAAGGTAAATGGAGACATGGCATGCTTTTTTCTTTTTAAGCATCTCATTTTGATAGGCATGGAGATATTCAGTAAAAGGCAAACTAAAAATAAAGGAAAAGATTTTAGCCAACTTTACATTACTTTAAAGAAAAAAACAAAAAAAACAACAACTTTTAGTGCCATTCATAAAATCAATGCGTTACATTAGAGTTATTATCACAGTAATTCAGGTGAAGCTGTAATTTCTCCTTTTTTTTGTTTTTTTAAAAGATCCAATATATATGAAAACTGTCTGTATGTGTTGCCAAAATATAACTGACAATACATTCTATTGGAATTTTAATTTATTCTAAACTGATGAACAGATATCTGCGCTCTCTCCTTAATCCCTATGTATATTTAGACAAATGGAGGTTATTTAGTTGCTCCAATGGCCATTGGAGGGAATGCCCGCCTGTCAACGTCAAGGCAGACCCCCCTAAGCGGGTCCTAACATTGACCCTTCAGCCTGCTTCCTTGAGCTTCTGGCAAAGATATCTCTAATGAGACAGAGGGGGGTATTTTTTATATACACCCCTATATACTTATTAACCCTTAATAGGGAACACATGGGATGGGCGGCAGCATTGTAACAAGGCTGTGTGATACAAATTAAATACAAATACAAAAAGAGAAGTCCTGCGCTCACTCCCATCACTACTGGGCTGGCAGCAATGACTACAGTACACATCAGCCCCAATATATAGTAAAAACCAAAGAAAAGAAAAAGTTACCTGCGCTCTCTCCTTAATCCCTATGTATATTTAGACAAATGGAGGTCATTTAGTTGCTCCAATGGCCATTGGAGGGAATGCCCGTCTGCCAACGTCAAGGCAGACCCCCCTAAGCGGGTCCTACACTAACCATTCACCTTGCTTCCTTGAGCTTCTGGCAAAGATATCTCTAATGAGACAGAGAGGGATATTTTTTATATACACCCCTATATGCTTATTAACCCTTAATAGGGAACACATGGGATGGGCGGCAGCATTGTAACAAGGCTGTGTGATACTATATATGATACTGATGTGTAATGTAGTCATTGCTGCCGGCCCAGTAGTGATGGGAGTGAGCGCAGGACTTCTCTTTTTGTATTTGATGAACAGATATGCATAAGACAATATAAGGACTACTAAGGAAATCGCAAACTGAATCTTAATTATTATATAGCTGCCATTTTTAATTTTCTTTTTTTTACCATTTTAAATAATTTGCTGTGGCTGAAGATGATCCCATTGTTTCAGTAAATTTTCCAAAAATATCAATTTTCAA